TTAGAAAGATTTTCATCCCGTATTAGGTCAATTCAAAGAGAGTCGATTTTTGGTCATTTAAGTCATATCTCTGGTACTAAACTTCAAATGAGCACTATTACTTGCAATAAAAGCTATTGTACTCATCTCTTCCAGAAAGGCCGAGGCTAATTTAACCTATGCAAATCTAAAAATTCTAATCGGATGTAGCTCAACGTTTCACTTGTGCATTAGATAGTGGCAGGGGTGGCCGTTTAGCCGATGATGGTCCAGGTTCATCGTCACACGAAGTTATTATGCCGAAGTCAATCACAGCTCTACGACGCTAAACGCACACAGGTAAATAGGAGTAAAAATAGAATCCAAAAACTGCTGAAATGAACCATGAAAACCTTGATAACCCACATTAAGTGAACCTTTGTCCCTATTATTCGACAGTGATGACACTGCCGCAATATGTTGAGAAGTAGAAGACGAATGCTGATGAGTTCGCACATGTAGCCAAGTCGAAGAAGTATCTGACGTATTTCTGACACCATTAATTAAGACCGCCAACAGAGGGAGAAATATCCATTGCTGACGGTTTTGGTACGATATCATGACCAGGAATCTGCATTAAAAACTGTGTCAACTAGTCATGCCACACTCTTCTAAATCATTATTAAAAGGTAGATTTCGGATCATTTCTAGAGAATAAAGCCCTCACAACCGATGAGCTTTCGCACGCATTAAGGATAAAACTCTACATGTGTACAAAAGGTGCGCGAACAACGCACGATCTAGGACGTTGCGACAGTGAAAACATTTCTGAACAGAAAGCCATATTTGCATCTAGCAGTCTCATACAAAACCCGAAACCATTCACCCATGATGCTTCTACTCTTTCCATATGCTTCTGACGAAGATGAGCCTTCATATCTTCGTGGCCTTCTATGCGGACAAGAACTTCAAGACATGAATTAGTGATGTGGAAAAAACAGAATAAAAAATCGGAAGGACGGAAAGATACTTACGAAATAATTAAACTCCATAGGATTGAAAATTATACCTTCGAAAGTTCATATATTATGGCATGTTTTATGTTGTTCAGAAACAAATGAGTGACTTAAAATATTCAATGTTTCTTGCCAATAAAATATTTTTTGTACCTTGGACTTTTATGTGCCATTAGAAGGCTGATCCTGTGCTTTTTCTAACCATTTTTTTGCATTTTGTCAAAAGTTGATTTTTCTCTTACCAATTTTAAGAATTGCAATATCAGATTTCAGAAAAAGGATTTCCATCAAATAATTTTGTGGGTTCAAACTCGGTCGAAGTGCAGCAGAGATGGCTCGAAACGTTAATGAAGTTTGGAATGAAGGTAGTGTTGGTGAATCAATACTACGAAAATGGTTCCGGAAATCCCGATCTGCTGATTTCGACCTCGAAGATAAGAAAGGCCACGGACGTCCCAGTGAACTTGACGACGACGAACTAGTGGAAGCAAACAAGCAAACCGTAAGCACAAGAACAATTTCCAACCACTTGAATCGCATATGAAAGACAAAAAACTCGACAACTGCGTGCCGCACGAATTAAACAATAAACAAAAAATCGTCGTTTTGAAGTGAAGTGTCATCTGCTCCAATTCTGCACAACAAAAACGACCGTTTTCTTGATCGAACTGTCACGCGCGATGAGAATTGGATTCTGTACGACAACCGGCGACGTTCAGCATGGCTGGATTGCGATCAGGCTCCACAGCACTTCTCCAAGCCGAAATTACAGAAAAAAGTGGTGACTGTTTGATGGTTTGTAGTCGGGCTGTTTTTTGAATCCCGGCGAAACGATTACGGCAGAAAAGTATTGCCAACAAATCGACGAAATTCACCGTGAATTCAAACAACACGAAACTTTGCGTTATCCGCCATATTCTTCAGACTTCCCGCCTACCAACTATCATTTCTTCAAGCACGACAAATTCCAGCGCGAAAAATGCTTCACCAACAACGATGACACAAAGAACACCTTCAACGAATTCATCGCTTCCATAACTCCAAACTTTTATACAACTGGAATAAATAAGCTGATTTCTCGTTGACAAAAACGTGTAAATTTAAATGGTTTTTACTTTTACTAACAAAGCTTCTTCAAGAAAATTATGACATTTTAAACAATACGGTTTAAAATGCCCATTTATTTCTGAACGATCTTTAGTAGTTCTTGAACATAAGCGCCACCATCAATGATTTCATTGATAGAAAGTGATACAATTCCGAAAGTAAAGCGGTTACTTGAGTTGAGACCATTAGAAATTTATGGAAAAGGACTTGTTTAATCCATCTAAAAACGTGATCGCTACTTCTTCAAAATTTCACTTCAGTTCACATGCAAAAATGTTGAGTCTATCTCGCTATACCTACCATTTGACTACCCCATAACAATAACCACAACGTATGTCCATCATGAGGCGTGGTTTGGGCTTCCTAATAACTTCCACTTGTTCTCGGCAAAAAGCACTTACGAAGTTAACGACGTAACAAGGTTATGTAAGAGACTTTGATCTATTATTGTAAAAAAGTGTAATAGCTTGCTTAGAGTACAATTTTTGTTTCAAGCTACCTAAAATTAAAACCTTCATGTAAACCCAAATTTCATTATGCTAGAAAAAGAATGCTTGTGTATTGTTGCGAAAACTTCTTTTCATTTCCACTGATAAAGGTCAACAACCGTTGAAATGTGTTTGTTGAAAGGGTCAACTGTGTTCGCACACATATAAATGGGTGAAGATGAAATAACAGGCTTAAAATTTTGCATAGCGAGATCTGCACAGTTTTCAGTACCAGGAAATCAATGTTGTACAATTTTTTTATACCTATTTTACACGACCTATAATCACATGATCCCATCTATGAGCAGATCCCAGCACCTGCATTCGATTCGTTTCCCTGGCATTACAACCCAACTAAGCTATATACAAGGTAGATTCTTGTGAGCTGACCGTAATTCTGCACTTCCTGTGTCGATTCATTTCTTTATTTCATCTCGCTCTCTCTCTCACCCATCTCTACGTTAATTAAGCCGTCTTTACATGTCACGATAAACGTCTTGTTCATCGTTTTAAATTAATTTTTCTAGTGAAAAATTATTCAAAATAAATATAAACAGATAATATAAATACTTTTGAGGCATGTTGGCTCACGGTGACTTCAACGTCGAACCCAATCGACTTCTCATCGCAAGGCAGGTTGCGCAAGACGAGACCTCTAATTTAGCATATAAACAACTAAGGCAGAATATATTGACTAAAAAGGTTGTACATGCTGACGAATCCCTTGTACCGCTTAGAGCCACAGCTTCTTTCCCGCAGTATATCCAAAAATAAAGGCGCAAGTAGGGACTCACGTCCAAATTGCGCTCAACCAGTAGCTACACCTACAAAATCCTAGTGCGCAATAGTTGCACCTTCTTCATAGCTGAAAACAGTTTCCACAGAAGTTCTCCTTCACTTAAGGAGTTCTCGTGAAGAAAGACGATTCTTACCAGTAACTGCAAAGAAACAGGAAAGAGATCAGTGAGAAAGGGCGTCCTCTCTAGCACGTAAACAACTGGAACCCGAATAAAGGCAGTGGATATCCCAACAGAATAGGGTTTTGCTCATATCACAAATCGTTATGGTCATAATGGCGTTGACGTTTGAGGACAAGAAGGTAATTATTAGGATACCAACAGTTCGTGACACGATACTTTCTTGAAGTTATCTAACGTGGAAGTGATTGAAAGAAAGATTAGGGAGTGTGGGAATGGATAACAAGTCGCATGGAAAAACTGTCAATTACACATAGATATATACCTGAGGGTGGGGGTAGCGCAGTGGTTAGTGATAAAGTCCATCAGGAAGTAACGTAGTGGTTCGACACCCTTTCCAATGTTCTCTTCCAATCAACGTGAGAACACCTTACTTCGGCTATTTCCAAGATTGCAAGGATAATCGACTCGACCGGTATCCCACGACATTCATAAAGAAGATGGAATCCTGAGGCAGCACTCGAAAGAAAATGTGAAATGTTCGAGGACCTTTAAATTCGAAGAAAACGAATTGAATGCGAGAAGTGTTGGGACCCGCACAGTAGATGTGATGACAGGTCAAGTAAAATAAAACAAAAAGCATGCGAACGCATTTGAAAATGAAAAAAAAACAGAAATGTACATTAATGCATGCATATACGAAAATGCCTCCCAATGGTTTACCGCCTTATCGTCTGCAATGATTTTCTGGGTGTTTGGCTACGAGGTACGGTCCCCAGCAGTGCCTCCCAGGCTGAGGAGTCCGCCATCTGCACCAGAAAGTCCAGTTAAGAGTAAACCTATATCAAGATCCATCACCGTTCCGGTACCAAACTAATCGCATGGTGATAAATCTCCCTCTGAAACACAACGGCTGGGACTGTCTGTGGTAGTGATGGCCTGGGGCAGACTTTGGTTGGGCTAACCTCGAGACTCTAGGGAATCACAATGGCTAATCCCGCAAAACTCCGAAAAAGTGGAAATTATAGTGGGAGCCGCAGAACCAGTGAAGACGGCCATTCAAGTATACAAATAAGTACGTGTACAACTACACATATATATATATATATAGTGCAAAAAAGTGTACATATATACACATATGTATGCACATGTACATGTACATACATGTGTGTCCATGTATTAAAGGATAAAGGATAAAGCTCTCGGCATTTATCAACCCTGAAGGATGCGACATGCATTAAGGTTTTTTGCATACAGCTCATACAGCTAACTGAATGCACATCTGGCCTTTACAGTGGCTCGCGGTAGCCTACTGATGTTTCGAGCCAGTGCTGCTTCCCTCCCAGAGAAGTCTGGTACCAATTTGCCGACTCCGGAGAGATGGAAGGCTTGGTGAACCATAAGAGTGGGTCATCAAGCAATCGACCCCAGCACACATAAATATGCCTATACACATGAGCACACATGTAAGTATATGTATATATATGTATATATATATATATAAGCATATGCAATTACAGATATAAGCTGGGAGCTGTTCGCGGTTTCGGTTGCAGGGTTCCGTTTAGCAACCAAAGGACCTCGTCCGTTTCACGAGCGACATGCGATCTGTTGTCAGTGGGACGAGAGGTGATATCTTGTGGAGTACCGTCTACAAATGATTTTATACAGAAAAACGCAATTTTTGTACCTCCTTTGATTGTTGAGCTAACATTTACGTTATGCTGGTTACATTCTTGGATTGTTGAGATTTTTTGTCCTTTATGAAGAGCACAAAACATGTTGTTAAAATTACATTTATTTGACAATTGCTAACATTTCAGCCGATTTCTCCTTTACCAGAATCTGGAGAATCAAACCGGTACGAAATTCACTCAGTTAAACGCCTTCAAAACTCATTAGAACGAACTTGAACCCCAGATTTCAACCGCACCGCATCATGGACAAAACAAATGGAATCTATCAAAAATACCTCGAGTATCAAGCTCTGGTGTTTTAGATTTCTGTACAGAATCGTGGCTTCTAATTCAATTTCAATATCGCAAGCTGATTTTTTGACTTAAATGAGGCACTTTCCTCATCTACTCGACCTCTTCGCTATTGGTCCTCATCATTAAGTAGAAGACACAAAGAAAACGTCAACTATTTAAAGAAAGTGTTTCCTGTGCGATTTCTGTTGGATTTATGAAAGCATTTGGCTGAGGAAACTGTGCATCAATTTAGCATTCTCAGGCTCTGAAAAGAGTAACAGCCGCCGGTGTAATCGAAACTATAAAGTGGGTGAGATAATAAAAGATGGGACGTTCACCTAGTACTTTTAAAAACTGCAAAATAATACATGAAGCCAAATTATTCAAGGAGAAGCATTCGTATCCGGAATCGACTTCTAGAAAAAAAAGAGCTATTGCATTTCACTACAGAGGTGCTGAATAACTAAAATCAATAGCGATAAAAACAAAAAGGATAAAGCTCTCGACGTTGATCAATCCCTGAGGGATGCGCCATGCATTTGACTTCATGAAGTATCGTTGGAGGTGACTGAGTGCATATCCGGCCTTTACAATAACTCGCGATGGCCTACCGATGTATGGATCTAGTGCTGCCATCATTCCAGACAAGTCTGGTACCAATTTGCAGACCCTGGAAGGATGGAAGGCTTGGTGGGCCATGGGCGCAGGAATCGGTTCCACGTGTGTGTGCAGTAATGGCGTCTCCAACCACTGTGCCACACGCGCCCTAACTCATGCGATAATTTACAGAATCAAAACTCTAGACTAACTTACAGATTTAAATGAAACAAGCGTGTTTGAAAATAATTACGCATACCAGATTTAAACTATCATATTTCAATCCGCATTAAACGATACCAACTAGAATAAAATAGCATAGAATATGTAGAGCTTCAGCAACGAAATACTCTTTTAGACCTGCTTATTTTTGTTTATTTACTTCAGCCGTCACCACACCTACTGTGCGGATCCCAGCACTCCTTCCATACGATTCGTCTTCCTTGCACTCATCGTCCGTAATGGTCTTCGAAAATTGTGCGCATTAATTCGGCTCCTGCTTGAGGATTTCTTCTTCTTTACTAGCGTTGTAGAATGCTGGTCGAGCTAATTATCCTTGCAACTTGGAGATAGCTGAGCCAAGGCGCACCCACGAGGTTTGGGTGAGAACACTGGGCATGGGTCGAACAGACGCTTTCGATTCCTGGTCGCTGGCATCACTAACCACTGCGTTGCCCCCACTTCCTTTCTTATTCCACAGTTGTAAGATTCCCGCTTACTAGAGCCTCTCTCTATGTATACCGCTTCTTTCCGTTAAGGCTGGTATTTCGAACAGCAAAACGATTGGGCGAAATCATGACCAACAGCATGTGACATTTTCAATTTCCCTGTTTGCGTTTTAAAAAGCTTTATAAACAAATTGTGTTCCAATCTTAACCGTTTAATTTACTACCTACTATTTTCAATGGCAGGGTATAATGCGAAATATAACTTCAACGATGCTGAGATATTTGCAAAACTCCGGACCGCAGGTGTCTGTGAACTAACGCGTTATTGTCCTTTCTGGGGAGTAACGCGTGCTCATCACCACACTATGCGGGTCCTTCGTTTCACCTGTCTCTCAGCTAGTTCTATTGATCTCTGCCGTCAGCAATAACCTGTCAGCGGGATTGAGCTGGGGAGCCCAAATTCTCAATGAGCCCAGTTAAGTTGGGGCTGTAGTTATAATCACCGCGAACACCTGCGGTCCAGAGTTTTGCAAATATCTCAGCATCGCTGAAATTGCAATCCATTATTGTTTAAAAAAAAGTTGAATCTTAAAGCTTAAAATTAAAATGTCAGTCTAAGATTACCTATGCCATTCTGGCGAGAGATCAAAGCCTCATTTGCAATTATGTTTAAAATTTTTCTCTATATGGGTATTTGGTCTTCATTGTGAACTGCGGGGTTCTACCAATGCATCACAACAGAGTTTTTATGCTCCCAGAAAAATCTGGTAGCAATAATTTTAAAACCGACCGTCATTTAACTCGGTGTTATAATAATCAACATGTGTTTATATTGTTGAGCATACATGAGGGACACGGAGGTGTTTGTTTGGCTAACGTTTCGACGTCCTCGTCTTCATCAGAGCCGACGATTCTTGTCGATGTCGGTGATAAACGAGCGTCAACGGATGAGTATGGGTGACTCGAAATGTTCAACCGAGGAAGATCTGGTTCGATGCGAGACAAAGACGCCACATCGAGAAGAACAGCTGCAGACCCATCGATAAGGATCGTCGGCTCTGGTGAAGACGAAGATTTCGAAACGTTAGCCGAATAAAAATCTCCATCAACCTCGTGTAAAATATAGTAACGATTCATCGACCGCGGAATAATGGACGGTGTGGTTTGTTATGGGTGAGGCATCGGACAAACGAGCTGCGTGTACTTTCAAGAAACCTCAAAGCATTGCACTACACAACCCTCGCCAACTTGCTTAGCATACGTCCAGAATTATAAATATATTAACATATTAATATACTATTATCAGTATGTACTATGTACTACCACATAGATCAACAATATTAACACCTGGGTTAGCCAATGAGTTTAAATGAATACATATTGATTAATGATACCAATTTTAACGGAAAGTCGGTTTTGAAATATTGTTATGTTCTACGCAAGCTGATAATGCCACCGACCTCTGCAGGATGGAATGTCTGGAAAAAAAAGATTGTTATCATCGGAGAATCACTGTTATCAACAACCACCGTCCTGTATAAAAGAGCATAACCGGGTGAAATTGCCTCATTCGAGCAAGGCTCCAATGAAGAAAATCCGAACTAAATACGAAGATGAAAACGGTACATCGAGATGATCAGCAACTGTGGACCATCTACTCGGATTATCAGCTGTGATGAAGACGAAGACGTCGAAACCTTAGGCGAATAAAGCTGTTTATCAACTATATATAAGCTTATCAATGAAGGAATACAGCACAGGATAATCAATGAGTTTTTAATTTCTCGTAATTGTAAAAAATAGGCGCAGTAAAATAAAAGAAAGATTTTTCACTTACTTATGTCTAAACCGACGCCATGACAGTCATTAGGAGGATATAAAACATCGATTCCATGCTGAATCACCATATGAGCACCAAAGGCTGGGATAGAGCATAACATCACGGAACAAGATGGGCATTCAATCTCTCCATTCCCATGCACTGGCAGGCAGTATAGTGAGGCAAGCTATAAGTTATATACCGCTACAAATGAAAATGCTTCAGAAGGGATGAAATAATTCAGCCAACCTTTGCACCACTTTCCCCGCCACGTTTCGCGTTATTACGATTTCACAAGCCAACCGCTGATGATAGAACACTGTTACATGAACAACCATACATGTACCTAAAAAGAAAAGGCAGTTTTTAATGAATTTTTGAAAAGGAAGCTAATGGTTTGCGAAAATTTTGAAACCCTACGAAAAAAGTTGTCTCAGAGAGAATGGGCAATTATGCAATCCTCAGTGGGGAGCGGTTACTACAATAACAATGAATTGCTGGAAAAATGATGTAGCTGCTACTGAAACATTTGAAAAAAGAAAACTAAGAAACCGTCTTAAGAATAGATGGTTAGTTGTAAGCAGCATACGAGTAGAAAGAGGAAATGATATTCGTCTTGTAAATTTTGTTGCTAAGATAGCAGCAAACTTATCACCGCCAAGCGTTTCCTAAAAGTATGCAAACATTAGCAAAACAATGAACAGACACTGATCCTCTGCAGATATATAAAAACCACCAAAACTCGTGTAAACCGCATTACATTCACTAAAACATACACCAAGTAATTTTGAAGTAATATATTCCTAGACTTACTGAATTGTGGCAGAAAGGCACTGGAGTATCCATTGCCGTCGAACCACTACTAGCTGGAAGACGTTTCTCCGCACCGATTACACAAGGTCCATCACAGTGAAGTGGTGGATGAAACGTACAAGTCATACGCAAGCAGTCAGCAAGAATAAGACAATCATCAAGATGGGATGCAAGATGAGCTCTGAATATACTTGATTTTCACGTTAATAGGTTTTCCGATAAGCCCGTACGTAGCACCATTCAACAAAAGCTATGCGGGAATTATAATAAGCCTCGCATGATTCGTACATATTGGCTTGGCTATTCAACTATACAAGCAGACGATAATAGATACAAAACGCACTTGTGGTAAAGTTCGGTACCGCTGCATTCTCCACACACATTACATTTGTATTTTATACGATGTACCGTTTGAAAATGTAGATCCATTTCGTCTAGTGTAGAAAACGAAGAAATTTGGCATTGTTCACACGTGAAAGGGAAGTTCCTATAAATAAAGTAAGGTAGAAGCCTTATCTTCTAATCTACTTACAAATCCTTATGATTCAATAGTAACACAATACACTGACAAATGAGCAATAGGAAATCGAAAATATCTTACTTTATGAACGAGGGAATCAGTTGGATTAGAAGGTGTGCCTTTTCTGATAGCAATTCCATTCCCTCTGCCATGCAAACCAATAGTGCCACCATTTTCTTAGAAGAGTGATTCTCCTAAAAAAAACCTTTCTAATCAGACAAGAATTCGATTTAGAAAAGGCATCACCATACCACATGGACTGAAAGTATTGCTAGAGACTGAAACAAACCATAACAGTTGCAAAAAAGTTCCACGCGTTGGGAAGACGATCTTCCTGATAATTCACCCATACAGGTAACCATAATCCACAATCAGTACATACTATAAACATATAACACCGTTTCATTTCAAGCTAAAACCATCTATACAAACCTAAAGTAAGGAATTTGTAGAAAAATTCGTAAACAGATATTTAGGTATAGACATGGTATGCACATATAGTAGTGTCTAACGTAGCGACGATTGATCAATTCATTCGTAGCCATGTCGACTAGTTACTTTATTATTTTGCCATTGCTGAGTCGGTCATACATGCAACAAAACAATCTAGTGCATCAGGCAATTTATTCATTTATACAAGAAGTTTCGGCGGTTGGTGGCGCCCTGCAGCACACACGTGGAATTGATCCCCGTGCCCTTGGCCTACCAAGTCTTCCATCCTTCCGGCATCGGCAAATTGGTACCAGACTTGTCTGGGAGGATAGCAGCACTGGCTCGATACATCGGTTGGCCACCGCGAGTCATTGTAAAGGCCATATATGCATTCAATGACCTCCAAACTATGCTTAATGAAGTCGAATGAGTGGCATCCCTCAGGAACTGATCAACGCCGACAGCTTTATCATTTCCACCCTTTACGCAATAAGTTTCAACAAACACCTTCACAACAAATTTAACCAACCTTATAAAGCTGCTTTCCATCGCTTATAATCGCTTCAATCAATAACATTTCCTACCATCTTGTGCAATCAGAATGTCACAAAAGAGCCTCCATCGAGTCATACAATGTGCCACAAAAGTGACAGCCATAGAAAATAGCGATGTAATGTTTAGCAAGTAAATGAGACTGAAAGAAAAACTAAAGTTTGTTAACACATGTTTACAGACTGTGGATGTGTTTCATATCAAAAACTTCGTTTCTCCAGGCTGTGAAAAAAGGACCTCGACAATGAGAATGCGCCTGGGAGAAAGGATGCAGTAATAACGTTAGTCGAGGTACCGTGATAGATCCACAGATAAAGTGTTAAGAAAAAGGAATAAGGATCGATAGCGAAAAGCTTCACCGTGTCTGGAATACTGACAATATGGTGCACACTAGACGACGGCCATGCAGATCAAAATTTGAGCGACTTCGTTTGGGGATGTGGAAGTAGGCGTTTTCAGATGGATGCAAAAACGACAAGCATGAAGAAAGGGTCTTGCGTGCTATACGAAGCTTCTTTTCACCGTTATCATCGGAAGTATCAGTATTTTTATCTAGGATGGAGAGTTAAGATTATTTGGGATCTGTGACCGAACATGCTTAACAAAAACCTTTAGGCGTTGAGAATAGGGAGAAGTAAGAAGTATAAAGTAGCGAAGAATATGATTAACAGCATGACTGGTATCAACAACTAAGACTTGACAATGGCAAACTTGCTAACGTCCTTATCTCCAAGACGCTGTGCACATGCTGACGCTGTATGTGGTGAATTTTCACAGCGGAAGCAAACCTTTTCTAGCAGTCAAACAGAACAGATATCGAAAATATAAAAACAATGGTGTGGACCTATGGATAATATATACCCTTCAAATCTAAGTAAAGCCTACCAAGAATTGTGAATGCCTCAATTATTCAACACCATATTCATTGCAAAAAGAAAACAGCCGATATGAACTTGCAAAAAACCACCTTGAAAACAAAAAATGATGCATTTTGCATTTCTGTGGTTAATAACCGAGTTTAAATCTAGCATGTTTCAAAGATGTACACAGAAATTAATGGTTATAGTTGGATATATTCGTTAACCAGATTCTAGGTGATACTTGTGGCGGTAGTTGTACTAAGGCAACTAGACGACGTGTTTTCACACACCATAATGGTTTCAACATTTCGTCAACGTTTTTTTTTGGTTTCCAAGTCATCATCCAATAAGGTAGACGAGTGTGTGGCTTAGCAGTAGCTTTAGAATATGTAAAATTCTCCTCTAATCGATACCTTAGGACCGATCTGTCAACCAATCTTCTAATTGACAGACTGAATCCTAACAGGGCGTAGCGTTTCACGGAAAATTCCAGATTGCCATCCTTGAGCGAATATACGCTTTCAATCCATGCTTGGAGGCACCCAAGCATTCAATACGAGCGACATTTAATCCTTATGGACCGGGAATAGGTTTGCTGCCTCACGACTTGGAATCTTGCAAGACGACAGTGGTTCTTGTGACGGTGCCGACTCCCTAAATAGTCGACCAGCTACTCCAGGACGACGCAACAGGAAAAATCATTGTAGTAATAAAGGTAATAAGTTGATACGGATCAAATCAATACGGAAAGGAATATGGATGTACCTGCATACCTGCATATCAAAAAAAGACTGCAATGTCTCTTGAATGGTACAACATGAACTCCTAATTGGTCGCAGTTTCCTGCTTGACTCCAATAAATGTGTTTTTGTTGATATATCACTAAAAAGTGATAAACTTTCCGTCATGTCCATACCAAATGGAAACTCTCGCAACGGCATCGTTTCACTATGGATACTGTTAACATTCCTTTCTGAAAACCAATGAATCGGAGTCAGAACTGCTGTGACGAATCTCCGTATTGCCAATGTACCTTTTGCTGATGTGATTTTACCAGAGACATTCTTTTTCAAAACAAGCTTCCTCGCAGCATTTTCCCATGCTAGTCGCCTTGGCAAGGACAACATATTCCACTGAAATATTCCAACAATATATAGGGCGAAATAAACTAAGTGCTAATATGTTTATATCGTGCAACTTCCCATCTCCATACTTACTACGAATTAAAAAAACAAAACATAACAATACACTATTAAGTGTAAAATAACTGCGCTTCATGTGGTATACGTAAGTATAGGAACCAAATAGAGCTTCACTGTAACACCACGACAAAACAATCCTTTCAAAGAAAGTTCATAATCATTTGGGTACTGTTCGGTAAAAATTTTTCAATATCGTTTGATAACATGAAATAAGAAAAGATATTATTGCCTCTCTGCAACAAATGTAAAAGGACGTAGAAATTCTAACTCATTTTGAGAAAATACTGAGGAAAAAGCCAGAACTCACATCATGTCGTAGTACCTGTGCGTGCTGAAGAACGCCGTCAACATTACTGTTCACGGCATACCTATCCGTGGTCAAATGACTAAAATTCTTTCAAATAAAAGTAGTAGTCATCTCTACAATAAAAAACAGTAAAAAGTTCAAAAAGTCGCTCACCATAAAGAATCCATCATATCATCAGCGACACAGCTGGTCATCAAGCGAAAACCACTGCCAGAGTTTACTAGTGCATCAAGGCTGTCGACACGCGCCACATTCAATCTCTGTACCGGATCAGGAATCGTCAGTGGCAGTGTAGGCAAGTGTTTATCATATGACAACACTTCTTCCTTAAAAATAGAAGCCGTTAATACTAGGTGAAAATGGTGGCAGCTTAGGAAACGTGACAATGAGGTTTTTCAAAATTGATCTCACTTGTAAAAATCGTCGAATTTCTGTTTCATCGGAAGAAGTGAGTGGCGTCTTTCCATCATGTCCGTGATTTCCCACAGCAGCAGGACGTCTTATATTATGGCCACGTCCGCAGCCACGGTTATTCTCCAAAAAAAATATAAAGATATTGTTATCCATGTATACACTTACCGTTATTTCAAAGAAATAATCAGAATATTATAGCAGTCAAGACATTTGTACTCATATTTACCAATAAATCTGCTTCTCAGCATTTCCTCTTTAAACAACGCCTTTTGCTTATATGTTCTACTAATATACAATAAATAATAAATCGGTAGACTCAAGAAAGCAAACTAACCACCATTCTACGGAAGAAATTTGGCAAATAAGTCCAGAAACGAAAGAAAACCAGAAATTCAGTTTCAGTGGTGTAGTATCAACAGTGAAATTGTAGAGAAAGAGCTTTGGGAACAAAAACCAAAAGTTACACCAAATCTGCCACAAACATGACGTTAAGTCTAACCGTTCTGAACGAGATCGTAATATTTAGCGCTCTCAGCCATTAGCTTCGAATTCTTGACTCAGCTCTCAGAGGAATAAGTGATTGTGGAAAATCATTGACAAATTTCAAATCCACATGCGACCCCCGATATACGTTAATTTTAAAGCATTTAATTTGAAACTAATGGCCACATTCAAGTTTGATCCAGCACATTTCAGCTCAGCAATTTCTGTGATTAGAAAGGCGAATATGTACATTTTCAGCAAGCAAATACACACGTTCTACATCTCCCAGATGCAATACTTACCTTCCCAAGCCCGCAAACATGTCTTCCCCGTTTCTTAAGCAGGAACTAGTAGTTCAAATACGAAAGCAATTGAACGAACGGGATCTCGTCCAGCAGGACGATATGGTGTTCCAAAATGTCATCTCCGTTTGGAACTACGATACGCGTTGCAAACAACTTTAGAAATCCGAACTATACCTTCGTTTTTTGAAAACTTTTGTTCTATGAAAGTTTAAAATTAAAATACACTTTAAAAAACATATGCACTTTTAAGATGTAAAGGTGAAGTCTCTTCTACGAGTCTACGAAATTCTCAGCTTCCCAACTACTTTACCTCCAAAAATATAAAAGTATACTATCCAAAAGCCGGCATCGGAAGTTCTATGTTAAAATCATAATAATGTAAAAAACGACTAAATGAAGCGAATGTGGACGACCATTCGCTTCTTGTAACTGGTACATCGAGTTGGTTCAAAATCTGGATCGTTCGGACCATCTTCTGATACAACCACAACGTTGCTGAGATATTTGCAAAACTCTGGACCGCAGGTGTCTATGGTGGGGAACGAACGCGCTATTCGTTCCCCACCATAGACACCTGCGGTCCACAGTTTTGCAAATATCTCAGCAACGTTATGGTTGTATTTCGCTTTGTAACCTGCCATGAAAATTATAGAAGGCAAAAAACAAAACGTTAAACATCTTTTGATATTTCATGCACCTCCTTTTCATCCCAAATGTTATCAGTGAGTGAACCAGCATATTCCAATTTGCCACAATCACTTGTAACTCGACTGTCGTTCTTTTGAGGAATTTGAATAAGAAAATCTTTACACCTACAAATCCACACCTTCACTCGCCTACTCCCACTTCATCCGGACATCTCGCCGTCGTTCTTCTACGTCGCTTCTGTGGCCCCTCTTTTCCGCAGCTCCCGAATTAGGAACTTCATGTGGTTCCATCTCACTCACTTTCCCACGTATGTGCTCATATAAGGTATACTTCATATGAAAACAACATTATAGAAACTCAATTGTCAATAAGAAGCACTTGAGCAACATGTTTTCAGAAATCGTTCATATTCAGCCACACTTCTCTGCTTTATATACTATTCTCTCATACTATAACGTAAAGAAATATTTCATTCACAGTTACACCAATCTACTTGACAACTGAGGAAGACAAATTGGAATATGTAGTGCTCAGTCTTTGTTGTCTAAATCTAAAGTCTTTTGATCAATATCCTCCAAGTAGGTGGGGATGAATTGTAGTGCAGTAGGTAGAGGTATCCTGTAAAGCACACGTGAATGCTAGCTCGATTCCAAGCCTCTGCTCACCACACCTTCCAGCTCTCTGCAGTAGCAAATTGGTACAAAACTTGTCTGGAGGATAGCAGCATTGACTTGATACGTGGGTACGCCACCCCAACCCATTATAAAGATCAGATCAACTCTAAGATGCCTAATGAAGTAGAGTGCATTGCGCAACACCTAGGGATCCACGACCTCCGAAAGCCTTATCCTTTTACTCTCTAACTCAACAATGAAACTGTTGTAAATAAGTTCACTCCAGCCATACTTCGGAGGGGATTTTTCAGTTTGGAAACGATTTATAGGCACCGATTTGAAATCCATTTGCGTTCATTAACAGTGGTGCTTCAATGAGCCTGATGGCTCTGACGCGTGCGAAAATATTTGCGACTTACAACATTGAACAAATATTCCTCAGCTCATAATTAACCTAATTAATTGAAAAAAAGCTGCCGGAGTGTACAGATATCTGCCAGTAGGTGATAATCCTCCCTATTCTGCAATTTTAATAAATGTAGTTCCCTAGATCTCAAAAATTGTCTCTCATGCGTCTCCAACCTCAGGATTTATATCTAGAAAATCAAAGTGACTGAGCAAAGAAAATATCTTTCGTCAAGACAGACAGTGCTTCCAGGGCATCACTGATGCGGTCAACTGCCTCCTTGCGTTAAAACATTTGAAATTAAAATGTCGTTTCACCTTTTTTTGAACATCTGAATCATAAGTAAGTTTAAAATAGGGGTGCGTTGTTGAAAAGCACTAAATTCATTAGAGAATTACGGCAAAGCCTCTTCCATAGTCATGTCATGATCCCAACTCCTTCTGTGCAACTTTCACCAAAACAGATAAGGCAGCTGACGAAAATTAGGCCTCGTCGTCAATCTACTGAAATATCTATTGTCCTTCCTCAAATAATTCCACCTCAACACTGGTCATTTAAACTGCGCTCTGGGTTTTCTGATTTGCACAGACCATATTACCCCTAAAGCAGGCATAATTTTGAATCTACTTTTCTTTCCCATTTGAAGTTACAATGAATCAAAGAAAAACTTAAGCTTTATTTTTCACGTCACGCTACCCGAAATCCCAAATTGAAAAAACTCAAGCACTTTGATTCGATTCGTTTCCTGGGACCTTCCATCCACTGATGTCCTGAAAATTTCATGCAGATTTGACGGTTTTAGTCAACTTTACGAACACCGCTTAAGTGCTTCCCGAGTTGATTCCTCCTGGAGTATTGGGATATCGTGTTAGGTCAACTTCACGTTATTTGAAGGGAATGAATGAACTGCTCACGGAAAAGTCTGGTACCAATTTACCGACCGCAGTGGGAAAGAAGGCTTACTGGACCCGTTGTGGCATCGACTCTAGACTTTGCACGTGCCGAACGTTAAGCACGCCACAAGCTTAAAAACCAATATTATTTTCTTCAATTTAAATGTGTGCATATAAACGTATCCGTATCCCAAAGTTTTACTGCCTCTTGGTAGTGGAGAGTTCCCGGTGCCCAACTTCTCTGTGGATAGGACTAATTAGTCCACTAAGTTCAACAAATTTGAAGACCTCATTCCAATATGAAAACAGCGGAGAGTAAACTTACACTTACGTTTCACCAAACACGAAAGACCTATAGAGGATTACCCTATCGCCAAGAACAATGAAAGTAAAAGCAGGGTAAAAAATTGGGGAAGAGAAGGTTCAAAACAAAAGTAAAAAATTAGAGTGAAAAGCTAGCGGCGCAAAAAAGGCGAAAAAGGTTAGGGCAAAAAAGCTGCCAGAAGAAAGGCATAGCAGTGAGTAACTCGTGAGATTCCGCATAGTGTAATCGCGGGTTCGAATCTGGCCTAAGTTAGATTTTCACTGTTATCTCAGCATCATTGTGGTTGTAATTGCAAAAGTGTAAACCTTCGTAATAGTGCAGCTCAAACAAGCAAAACTCAATGAGTATGTTTGCATTGCAAAAAGACGTTTTACTGGTACACTCCCAATCTATAGAATGATAAAAGGGGTTACCGTCCCAATGGTTTACCGCCTCATTGTGGCTGGAGGTGCTCCTGAGTGTCGGACTGCGATGTACATCGAGGAGATTCGTCCCATCTACAGGACCTCCCAAGCTGAGAAGGATTCCGGCGTTTTCATCAGGAAGTCTAGCTAAGAGTAAGCCAATACTAGGATCCACTACCGTTTTGGTTCAAAGTCTCGTGGTGGTAAATCATCTTCTGATCCACAAGAGTGGCAACTGTCTGTTGTGGTGAGGACCTGGCGCTTCCTTTGCCCAGGCTGACCTCGGGACTCCAGGGAACCACAATGGCTTAACCAACAAATCTCCGAAGAATGGAGATTGTGGTAAGGTCCGCAGAACTAGTGAGGGCGGGCCGTTCAAGTAACAAGTAAGCTGGATTGCAAGTGACACAAGGAATACACACACACGTACATAGATAAGCATACACATGCGCGTATAAAGCAATGGTTAAAGGTGCTCTCTAATACACTCATGGTCGTTCGTTCCACAATAAGCCACGCTCAATCCAAGCCAGCTCTCCTTCCGGAGTGGTTAAAACGCGGTACCACAATAGCCTGGAAGGATAAAAGCACTGAGGCGATACATTCTTGGGTCACTGCGCAACATTGTTTAGCACCTTGAGCCCGAGTCTATACATGAGACATTCACAGAGGCCTACTTATTCCTTTACATTAAACATGTTTGCACATACTTTCACACTTTACACGACATATAATCGCATATAACACAGCGATTCACGGATTTGATTCATTTCCTCGAGAACACCATCCACGAAGGTCTTCGAACTTTTCGAGTGTGGCTTCGGCTGCTGTTTGAGGTTTTCTTCCTCTTCGTTCATGAATAGCTTTGAGAGCTGATCGGGTCGATTCTCTCTGGAGACAGATTAGAGTGCTCTCAGTTGGATTGCAGCCACAAAATCGACCTTGAAGAGATGAATGGCTTGGTGAGTCCGATGCAGGATCGAACCAGCACTGCACTTGTGGTGATTGCGAATGAATGACATCCACTGCGCTACCCACCCACTACATACATATATGTATATATATACATATATAT